CACTTGAAGAGCGTGTGTGTGTGTGTGTGTGTGTGTGTGTGTGTGTGTCTGTTGCTAACTGCAAAATTAAAGTATTACAACAGATTTTATGATTCACACAGCCTAAGTACTACTAGTAGCCCTTTAAAATAATTTTATTAATCTCTGCTCTAGGACTGAAATACATTCTTGTTTTAAAATTATATTTTATCATATTAGTTAATTTTTTGTCACTATAACAGACTACCTTACAGAAATAACAGGAAAGGAAAGATTTATTTTGGCCCACTCATGGTTTGAGGGGTACAGTCCATTGTGGTGGGACTGCACTTGGTGGTGGGAGTGGCTTACTGCTGTGGTCAAAGGACCTGGGGTGGCTGGTTCATATCTTGGCAGATCATGAAGCAGAGAGAAATGACAATACCCAGTATCAGGCCACAGGCCTTCTAAGTGCCTCTCTCTAACTCTCTCAGAAATCAGGCTATGCCCTCCTTCTGATGACAGGTATCTGCTTTGAAAGTTAGCGCTCACAGAGAATATTTTTCAGGCTCTCTTATATACATATCACTCTGGAATTGTTATGTTCTGGAATTTTCAACGTGTGCTGTCTTGCCCTCCAGGGAAATTTCCTATTGTCACAGTATGTGTGTGAAGTTCTCCCTAATTATAGTAGTTTCTGTAACAATTACAGCTGCCTTTTTCACTACCACCACCACCCCATCTCCATGAGTTCCTGGGCACCCAGCCTACAAAGAGTTCCAGGTCAGCCCAGGCTACAGAGTGAGATCTCGTGCTCCAAAACAAGCAATAGAGCAAGCAAGAAAACCAAGCAATCAAGCAAGCAAACAAGCAAACAAACAACAAACAACAGATAAACAAACAACAGACAAACAGAATTGGTGAGCTGAAGCAAAAGCAGAAAGATGACACAATTGGCCCAGGCAATTCTGAGGGTAAAATCCAGTAATTGGAATATATACATATTACACAATATCTGAGAAGGGAGAGCTAATAGCAGTACTATTAGTAACAGCCAAGAGGTAGAAGCGCTCTACCATCTATCAGTTTATGAATGGATAAGTGGCACACATGCACGATAGAATATCACTTGACAAGAGAAGGAAATGTACTGATACTTGTAACACAGATTGACCCTGAAGACATAGGCTAAGTGAAATCAGCCAATCAAAAAGGACTAAATACTGGGTGATTCTACTTATATGTCCATAAGAAGACAATTATAGAGAAAAAGACTAGATTGGTATGTTCTAGCACCGGAGAAGAGAGAGGGACCAGGTCCTACTCACTAGGGATTTCCCAGCTAAGGGGTTGTGATTTCTTTTCAGGGTGGAGAAAATGGTCTAAAATTACCTGTGGTAGTGGTGGTAGTTGTGCAACTCTTTAGATATTTAAATACAGTGAATTTTATACTTTGAATGTATAAACTATATGGCATACTCTTTATACCTATATAAAGCAGCTTTTTAACACTCAAAGACAGAATCTAGATAATTTTCTTATTTCTCTACTTTAGATATAAATACTGTAATTGTTCTTACTATTTCTTTGCTTTAAAAATATGTCTAAAATGAAAAAATGCTTCATGTTTCAAATATTTAAACTTTTTATTTTATTTTATGCGTATGAGTATTTTGTGTACATGTCTGTAAGTGCACCATGTGCGTGCAATACCCGCAGAAGGTAGAAGGCATTGGATTCCCTGGAATGGAGTTACAGGTGATTGTTAGCTGCTGTGTTGAGTGCTGAGAACTGAATCTGTGTTCTGTGCAAGAGCCACTAGTGCTCTTAATTGCTGAGCCTTCTCTCCAGCACCACATTTCAAGTACTTTTAAAAACAGACTGAACATTTGCACATTTGTGAAAGGTATAATGCCCTTCCTATAGAGTTATCTTGAAATATATGAAATAAATGTCTCCAGTTTTGAGGCTGGAAACCGGCCTTAGAGCTAGAGCACCTGCACTGCATGTGTGAGGGCCTGGACTCCATCCCCAGTACTACAGAAATCAGAAACAAAAGCCTTTGTTTTGGGTGAAGTGCAATAGCAGAGTAGTTGTGTAAATAATATATATATATACATATATATTTATATATTTATCTATATTGACATATATCAAGACAACGAAATCATTGCCCCAAAGTAGAATATATATTAATAGCAAGGATTTTGTGATCATGGAAAAATGACTTCTTATAAGAAATACAAAAAGCCTTTTTTTTGGATGAGACCATTGCAAAATGTCACTATTTTACTGCTTCAAAAACTGAGCTTGAATTAATTGCTTTAACTGCCTAAAAAAGCCATTCCCACATTCAGAGTATGTGTATCATTCACATAGGGCTTTAACAAATCCTCTGTGTTTCCCATGAGCCCTTTAGTTATTTAAAAAAAATACATACACGCCTTTAATTCCAGCACTTGGGAGGCAGAGGCAGGAGGATCTCTGTGAGTTCGAGGCCAGCCTGTTCTACATAGCGAGTTCCAGGCCAGCCGGGGCTACAGGGAGACCCTGTCTCAAAAAGACAAAAAAAAAGGAACAAAAAACAAAACAAAAACAAACCCTACACATGCAGACACACACATGCAGACACATGCAGACACACACATGCAGACACACACATGCAGACACACACATGCAGACACACATGCAGACACACACATGCAGACACACATGCAGACACACACACACATTTGAAAATGACTGAAGAAAATACCTCAGAACTAATTTTGTCTTGTGCCATTTCTAGCTCCTTTTGCTTGTGCAGGTGATTCACCAGATTCTCATCCTGTAAGCGTCTGGCATTCTGTTCTTCCAGAAGTTGCCTCTGGGTGTCATTGCATTCTTCTAAAGTCTAGAGACACATTGCATGAAGTTTTTATTCTTATACCACCTTGGGAGGAGGGCCTAAAACCTTATTAAGAGAAACTTTGAAAAAAAATGTCAAAGAGCCTATAAAAAAGCATAAGACCCTGTCTCCTACATGAATTACTCAAATTTTAATTGCATAAATGACAGCTAAATTTGTCAACAACAAAAACTTGGGTCTGGGGATATAGCTCAGTTGGGAGAATGCTTGCCTGGCATGCATGAAGTCCTGAGTTCAGTACCCTACATAGCATAAAACTGGGTGTGATGGTTCAGGCAGGAGGATTAGAAGTTCAAGGTCATTTTCAGGCTACATGGTGAATTCAAGGCTGTTGGGATGAAACTCTGTCTCACAAAACCAAACCAAAACAAAACAAAAGTTTTCTTGAGTACAGTCAGCCACAGTAATTAAGAAAAATTTCTTTACAAAATATTACTCTGGCTCAATGTTTCAAAGCTATGTAGGCTGTATTTTAACATTAAAATGACCATATTGACATTTATGAGAGTGACTAAACCATTTATCTGTATCCCTTCATTCAGAAAACACACTGAGCATCTATTACTTATCATGGTTTACAATAAATACCTTTATCTATGAATGTCCTAATTTATTTTTATTTAAATCTAAATAATATAGTCATGGGCCACATAAGAACACATGGTGGCTGGGACTGGAGAGATGACTCAGCAGTTAAGAGCACTAGTTACTCTTGCAGAGGGCCTAGGTTCACTTCCCAACATCCACTTGGCAGCTAACAACCTACCTTTAACTCCAGTTCCAAACCCTCTTCTGGCCTCCATGGGCAATGCTCAGATGTGGTGTGCGACATTTATTATACCAACATTGTAACTACCCTGAGCAAATAAAATCCTGACTTTTACGATAAGTTTTTAAGGGTGGGCCGGAATTTGGAGGACAATAGTTCCTCTAGCTATCTGTTAGAATCATCTGTCTCCCAGAACTGTGCAGACGAATCTCTCTTGTCCCCTCAACCTGTGCAGATGGAGCTGTCCGTGTCCTCACCCTGTGCCAACGGGACTGATTCTGAACTCTCTTTTTCCCACTATGTCCCTCAATCAGGCCACACCCATATTTATTCAAAATGGTTGCTGCAACTTCACTGGGGAAATACAAGATCAAGTTTCACCCTGTTCTTAGTCCTCACAGACCACCTGGCCTTTTCATCCCTAGTTCACGTTCATCCAAGGTCACTGGGCTTCCTTCCCAACCTCCACTGTTTCTAATGGGTGGGTGCACTGCTTGCAGCGCTTTGATGTGTTAATTCTCAAGCAACCCACATTCATTTGTTATCTTTTTGGGTGGAGTACCAAACAGAATGCCAAGGAGATGGTCCTCTTTTCAGACTCAAGAGCCCTGGCATGGTTTTGCTGGGGTTAATTAAAAGTCATTAGTCCCATTATGTCCATTGATAGAAGTCATTCCTACAGTTGTGCACTTACATACATGCAAGCAAAACATTCATACACATAAAAAATACAAAATTTAAGAAAGAATACAGTGGTCCCATAATGAGTCAGGAGCTAGCTTCCCTTAGGTAGGCACTGAGGGAACATGTAGAGGGTGTGTGGACTCCTTTCTGGCCCATGATGTGTACAAAAATGACCAATGCCAGGAAACTACCTCAGTCTCCATTGAAGTCCCACCATAAAACTGGTCAGGACAGCACAATGGTGCTCCTCTCTTGGAGCCCCTCCAGAATGATTCTCAAGCGTTCTTTCTCAATTTTCTTTAATAAATCTACATTTGCTTTACTTAGTCATTGTCCACATCTCCTTATTCTTGGAAGTTTTAACTCAGAAGCAACCAGGACTGGGTAGCTTTGGTTGCAGTTGTGTTTGCAGGATCCAAGTCCTGCTGAGTTAAGCCCACCAAGAGCCAGGAAAGTTTCCACTGTAGTCATCAGTTGATTTTATTACCTGGGTGATGAGTTGGGTATGTTAACACTTTTGATGTTTGTACAGTCATAAAACTGCCAAACATATTTCTCAGATCATGTATTAAGCAATATATGATTATATATGTATTTATACAGTATGTATGTTCAAAGTGAGAAGCAATATTGCTGAAGTAAAAGAAATAGGAATTTTTTACGATAATTAACTTACTTGAGTAAGTTTATTTCTTACAGTTTTCAGTTCCACATCCAGTTTTCTAACGTGGCTTTCAAGCTGCTGTTTCATTTCAGCTTCTTTATCACACTGCTCTTCTTTTTCTCTCAACCGTTCCTTCATTTTTTCACAAACCCATTCGGCATTTTTTCTCTTCTCCTCTTCTTGTTTTAAAGCAAATCTGCAGTTCAATATGCTTATGTTAGAACTCTTTTGTTAGAAAATAAAATGTTTTGTGGCCTAGCTCATCATATGATTTATTATCCTAATAAAATTTCTATGTTCTTAAGTGTTTTTTCTTTGTAGCTCTCGTTTTTAATTTTAAAAATTTATTTATTTACTGTGTGTGTGTGTGTGTGTGTGTGTGTGTGTGTGTGGTGTGTGTGCATGTGTCATGATGCATGTGTGGAGGTCAAAGGACCACTTGTAGAGTGGGTTGTCTCCTTCTACCATATGGTCCTGGGGATCAAACCAAACTCAGGTCATCAGGCTTGATGAGAAGCACCTTCACCCACTGAGCCATCTCATCAGCTGTATTAGTTATTTTTCTGTTGCTGTGATAAGACACCATGACTAAGGCAAGTTATGGAAGAGTTTATTTGGCTTACGATTGCAAAGGGGTAAGAGTCCATAATGACCTCCAGGGGAGGCGGGAGCAGAAAGCAGAGTGATCACATTTTCAAGCAGGAATAGGAAGCAGAGAGGCTGGAAATCCCTGAAGGCTTAAGAACTCTCAAAGCTCACCTGCAGTGACATGCCTCCTCCAGTATGGCCACACATCCTAAAGCCTCCCAAAACAGTGCCACCAAGTAAGTGGGGACAAAATGTCCAAATAATTGGAGCCTATGAGGATCATTCTCATTCAAACCACCACAGCCCTGGTTCTCATGTTTTTAATTTCTCATTTCAATCACAGAAAAGGAGCTTTGAAATTATTCAGCAAAGTGACAACTGTAAACTTGTCTTTTCTATATATTCATAATTAAGACAGTTTTATTTTAACTAATTAAAAAATATTTATGGATAATTTTATAAATTCACTAGAAATAAAATGAGATTTTCCAGGTATCCTTAAAATTATTTACAATATGCCAGGCATGGTGGTGCACGCCTTTAATCCCAGCACTCAGGAGGCAGAGGCAGGCGGATCTCTGTGAGTTCCAGGCCAGCCTGGTCTACATAGTGACTTCAGGTCAGCTGGGACTACAGGGAGACCCTGTCTCAAAAAGACCAAAAAAAAAAAAAATTCACAATATAAGACAGTTTCTTCAGTTGTTTTTACAGAATATTACTGTATTATTCCACGTTATTATAATCCAAGACTAGATTAAAGAGACTAAAGTGCTTTTCCACGTTGTTGGTTTGTTTGAGACAGGTTTTCAATTATTGTAGCCCTGGCTGTTTTGGAACTCACCATGTAAACTAGACTGGCTTCCAACTAGGGGAGCGCCACCACGCCCAGCTCTATTCTACTCTAGGTTTGTTTTGTTTTTTTGGGGGGGGGTTGTTTGTTTGGTAACACTTTTACTGTGTAATAGCCCTGGTAGGAATACTGATTCACCTCTCTTTGACTATCAGACTGTCGCAACAATGTTCTCCAAGAAATTGGAATTTCCCCAGGAAACATGCTGGGAGAAGGAAAAGGCTGAAGTCTGCTGCCAGCCAGAGGAGGAACTCTCTCCCTGGAAGCAGTTTCACACATCTGGTACTGTGGACTAGGCCAACCCCCCTGTGGCAGGGGAGGATATAGGCCCCAGTGGGGAAGCCACTGCAATTGTTTTGTTAGGTGACTGTGATGCACCTGCTAAAGCACTGTCCAAGCATTTGTGTTTACTTCCATAGGTTAAGTTATTACAGCAGCCACTGTTTAGCTGTTCTTGCTTCTTGCTGTTTGTTTTTACAGTAGATGGAACCCCACTGAAATGGGCCAACAGCCCATGGAAAACAGATGATGTAGAGATCCCAAAGTTCAGTTTCTTGCCACGTGGAAGGGAGATTATCCCACACCTATCTAAGGCTCAGGGACTTTTGCAGAAGAGTTTAGGAAGGGTCAGAGTATTAACTGGAAGTGTCCTCCAACCACTGTGCTGGCCAGCCATGGTCACCCTCCTTCCCACGCTATTCAAGGAGTCAATGGGGAGTCAGTTATCCCTACAACCTGATCAGGCGACCTTAGGTACATGTGGGGGAGGGGCTAAGGATATATAAGCTGAGAAGGCCATGAAGCACCTCTCTTGCCATTTTGTGATGTTGTCAGGAAATTACAGAATCTATATTTGAGTGTGAACTTTCCAGCACAGCTGTAAATGGGGGAGGGCGCCCACTCTTCTGTAAATAAACCTCCGCCCTATGCTGCTCTATTAGCAAGCCCAATAAACTCATTAGGATTTTACAAAAAAAGAGAAAAAATAAGAACAGAGCTAATGAAAGCCTTCATTATTCCACCAAAATTGACCCCATGTTGGCATCCTTTGGTCTTTAATTTCTTATTCCTATTCCTCCCCCCCAAACTTCATTGTATATATATTTTTATGTAACCTGCTTCAAGTTATTTCTGGAAAAATGTTAAAAATTGCCTTGCTTTGGATTAAAAAAAAAATGAAAACATAGTTCAGTGGTAGAGTGCTCAGTGATACAGTGCTTGCCCAGCATGTGGATTGATTCCCAACAACCCCAAAGATACAGAAAACTATACATGTATTTTTATTTCCTCTGTTTAGAGAACAGTGGCCACTCATATTTCTGGTGGAATTAAGCAGTAATGCCAAATTTCTTGAGAACAATTTAGAAACATCAAAGATCTCTATAAAGTTCTTACATTTAGCAAAGTAATTCTATATTAAAGAATTTGTTCAAAATAATTAGGAATATAGAAACTTTTACATAAACAAGGTCCCTTGCAGCATTAATTATAATCCAAAAAACCCCCAGTAAACAACTGTTCAGTATCCTATTTCATAAATAGTGAGGTTTCTTCTATAGAGCCAATAAAGTCATGATTCTGAAGAATATGCTTTTAAGTACTGGACGTATTCATGGTTAGCAGCAGTTCATTCATTATATTATTCTCAATGTGAACTGAAGTTGTCAGCAAAAAGCCACATCAGTGTTAAGGATTCTACAAAGCTGATTATCTGATTAGAACTTCTGTGATTGTGGAGAGCTAGAATGTTGCTCACCTCTGTCTTTACTGACACCCTATGATTATCAGACAGAATCCTTTTTAGAATGTACAAATGGACCACAGCACAAAGGCTAAGGAATGTCATCAGATAATATCTGAGGCCTATATACACTTTGATATAACCTGCCTATTTGATGTCCTCCCCAATATATTTAAAAATACCTCAATAATTTATAGCTTTCTTTGTTCTCTCATTGCAAAAACTTCATTAAACTGTTGCTACATTGGAATATGGTATTTAGGGTAACCCAAATCTGTGCTCTTCAGCCATGGTCACTCATATCTGACTCTGGAATAAACTCTCTTACTCCCTTTGAGGTTAAGAGTTGTGTTTCTACATGGATAGTTTCGGGATGATGCACTTCACTCGAGGAGTCATGCACAACATACGGCAGCAGCACTAGTCCCTTGTACCGGCTGCCCAGAGTTCTTCTCTCAGGTGAGTGCTGGTGAGCTGCTTCTGTGGACCACCCTTGGTTTGGTCACTCATCCACTGGTTTATTCTGAGCTGAGCTGGCTGTCAGGATTCTATTTGGTACCTTTTTAATTTATTTTTTCAGAACATTTGATTTGGTTTTAATGTATCTTATTTTTTTTCCAGGACATTCAGTTTATTTTCATTTATGTTTGCTTTCGGAATGTTTGTTATTTGTCGGCATTTGATTTTTTTTTTCTCCAGCTATTCCTCCAAAATTGAATTTTGCAAAGTTGTTGCTGCCTTTAGTTTAGGAATTCTATGAGTGTCTGATCATAAAGATGCTAAAGATAAGAGACATTTCTTCCTTCTAGCATAATAGGGTGAAAATGTCAGGGTGAGCATGCCAGAACATGCATTTACCGCAAAGGGACTCCCAGCAAATTATACTACCTTCCTGTGATACAAGGAACTTTACTGGCTTATCCAGGAAGATAGAATCATCCTGTGTCTTGAGCGCCTCCATGTTCACATAAATGTGTAGAACAAAATGAGAGGAAACTACCTCTGGGTGAGAACTGAAGGATCTACTCCCCGAGGATCTACTCCTATATAAATAGGATCTGAAACACAGATCCCTAATTAGCACAGAGAAGTTGATCATTTTCAGAAGAAAATGGAAAACAGGGTGTGAAGGAAGGATGAAATATTTGGAGAAAAATTGCCATTTGGTATTTTATCTGGTTTTGTGTTTGATAACTTATTAATTCAACTTATAAGTGTTTGGAAAATGGTGAAATCTGACTAAGGATAACTTTGTACTTCTTTTAACTAAAACACTTAATCCTAAAATCTGTCACATCTGAGACTCAAGGCAGTCTCTTAACCATGAGTCCTTATAAAATAAAAATAAATTATACATATAGGCACAGAATAAATATTTCTATTACCATAGGGAAGAGTAAGGACATAGCTAGGAATACCAAAACTTTGTAGGAAAAACACCAAATCCTGCAGTTCTGTATCTACCATCTGGAGTTTGTGACAGAATCTCCTAGGCTCCAAAGGGTTAGGGAGCCCTACCCCTCAACCTCTGCTTCCTTCAGCACACAGTCTCTCTCTTGAGCTGGCTCCACTCCATGTTTGTTTCTACATCTCCAACATCCTGGCCTCCATTGCAACTTAGGCCTCACCTTCATGGCTTCGTGCAGTAACCTCTCAAAGCCTCCTGACAGGGATTGTAGCCTTGTCACACATTGTCTGGTCTCGGCAGCTCTGAAGAACTATGGTATAAGACTCCATGACTCCATCAGTCTTGCATCTTTCATGTCTGAAACCAGTGACACGTGGATGACACTGCCAAGTTCAGCTGCCTTCTCAAGATGAAGCTTCCTTCCTTTGGACCAGTTGCATCAGCTTCTAAGTGCTGACCATGGGAGAACACTTCCACTGGTGGCTGCTTTCTAGGAGGCATTCTCAGTCACATTCTCACTTTAAGTTTAGGTTCTCTCCTTTCAAATGAACTTACATTTTCATAAGATGGAGCCTTCAGTGGGTAAAGTCTTGCCTTCAGCACACCTTTGATGTTGTCCCTGTGCAAAGCACCACATTTCTCTTTAATAATGTGTCCTAGGCACTTTCAATTGCTCTGATAAAATACTCTGACCACAAACAACTTGGGAAAGAAAAAGTTTATTTGGCTTACAGCTCAGAGTCTGTCATCAAGGGAAGTCAAGGCAGGAACTCCAGGCAGGAATCTGGAGGCGGGAGGTGAAGCAGAGACCGTGGGGAAATGCTGCTTCCTGATTTGCTCCCCCTGGCGTGCTCAGCTACTGTTCTTATACAGCCCAGGTCCACCTGCTCAGAATAACACTGCCCACAGTGTGCTGGACCTTCCTGAATCAATTAACAGTTAGGAAAATGCCTCACAGACATGTCCACTGGCCAGTCTAATGGAAGTAATTCCTCAGTTGAGGTTCCTTCCCAGTTGACTGTAATTTATGTCAAGTGAACAAAAACTAACTAGCACATGATGTGACTCTCTTCAGTAGGTACAACTGCTTTCAAACCGGCCTTGTCTGTAAGGCTTACTCACACTCTTTTTTCTTTGCCAAAGTACACATTTAAAATATTTTTCTACTTCATTTTTTGTTCTCTGTCATTATAGACCTGGATGAGCACATTTAACAGTAGCCATGTCAGAGCCTTAATACCATCCTGTCTTGAAATTTCTTCTCCCAAACAAATTTGTCCATTAGCTTTAAACTCAGCCCCAAGTTCCCAGGATCTGGGAAGAATGAGGCCAAATCCTTTGTAAGAATATCACATGAACAGTCTGTAGCACAGTGCCTGAGAGCATCCTCACTCCCCTCTGAAGCCTCATGAGCTGTCTCCACTGTCTGCATTTCTTCTGGCATTCTTGTTTTCCAGGATCACACCAGAATGACCTGTTAAGCTCTGCTTATAACACCTAGAGTTTTGTAGCCCATTCCTGTGAACTCTTCACAGTCCTCCAGCTAACCAGTTCCAAAGGCCTACGACTCACTTTGTCAAGTTTATTTGATTTTGAGGCTTCATGGCAAACATCTTTACCCGCTGAACCATCTTGCCTGCCCTTAAATCCTTTTTTTTTTTTTTTTTTGGTCTTTTTGAGACAGGGTTTCTGTGTAGTCCCAGCTGACCTGAACTCACTATGTAGACCAGGCTGGCCTTGAACTTACAAGGATCTGCCTGCCTCTACCTCCTTTTATATTCATGCTTTTAAAAATTGTCTAAGATATTTAATTTCATTTGGTCTATTACTAAATGATAAAAATAATGCTGATATTGGTTTCAATAAAGCTATAAATGAAGATGATACTAAATATTTTTGCTAATCACGCTTCTCTTATGACTTTGCTTGCTCAGTTCTTCTACTTTACTTGAACTAAATTTTCATGTTCAAAACAATTTGAGCTTTTTACTCCCCTCAGAAAAGTATTATCTCATCATTTAGTATTCTTTAGGTTTTAAAAATTCTGCAGGCATAGTGGCATGTGCCTTTAATCCCAACCCTCAGGAGGCAGAAGCAGGGAGATCTCTGTGAGACTGAGGCCAGCCTGGTCTATATAGAGAGTTCCAGGCAGTCTGGGACTAGTAAGACCCTGTCAAAACAACAACAAAAAACCCAAATTAAAAAAAAATCTATTTTTAAATCTCCCAAAAGGAACTCCATTCTGGGATACCTCTATTTTGAATTTGAGCTCTTAGAGCCCCAAACAAATAAATTTCTTCCTTCTAAAGAAAAAGAATATATTAATTGGATCCATCCAATTGGATTACTGTGTATCTATTCATATGGATGGGGGAGGGGTCTGGATTTGAGTAGGAAATGTATGAAATTTAAAAAGCTCAATTAAAAAAAAGAAAAAATAAAATACTACCTTAAAGTACCTTTGACTACTTTTACTTTTTTGTGGATACACAAAGATTTGAGTTTGACTCTTATCCAAATTATACAAAACAATAGTCTGCAATGATAAGAAACATTTCATGGTGTTTGATACCTTAAGAACTCATGTTTCTTAATTAAATGAGTATTTAAGGTGTCCTATAGTATGTTAGCTGGGATTAAACAGTAATAGTCATATTTTAACAATGTAAAGCAAATGAACAATATTACAAATGGCTCTCATTGGTCTTCCATTTCCCTCTCTGATTGTAGATTTGATTATGCCTATAAAACCTATGAAACCCTGAATCATCACCAGTCTTACCTCTTGTTTCTATCCTTGATATTTGATACATGGAAAAGGACAGCTTTGATAAAAGAAAATCTAAAGTGATATATTATTATCTAATTTCTTTTATAATGTAACTTTTCATTTATTTCCTCAAACTAAAATCTAGTACAAGTAAGGTAATAGGACTGATCAAATTATCCACAAATAAGAATTATAATAATTTGCATATCAATGGTCAGCCTTTCCTAAAGTTAAAACTAGACAGTACTCATGAAGTTATAACCGTAAAATCAAACTGGCTAAAAGAAAAACAGCAATTAAAACATAAAAATTATTTTTTTCAAGCCGGGCGTGATGGTGCACCCCTTTAATCCCAGCACTCAGGAAGCAGAAGCAGGCAGATCTCTGTGAGTTCAAGGCCAGCCTGGTCTACATAGCAAGTTCCAGGACAGCTGGGGCTACAGGGAGACACTGTCTCAAAAAAGACCCCCCAAAAATTATTTTTTTCAAATATTTCAAATACCAAAATATTTCATAGAGTACAAATAACTGTAGATACAAGAGAAAAATATATTAGTTAAAAATATAAATTTTGAGGCCAGGTGTGGTGACCCATGCCTTTAATCCCACAACTTAAAGGCAGAGGCAGATGGATCTCTGTAAGTTCAACATAAGCCAGCCTGGTCTACATAGTGAGCCCAGGCCAGCCAGGGCTACTAGTGAGTCTCAACAAACACTGAAAAACAAATAAGCAACCCTCTCCCCCAAAATTCAAAGTACAAGTTTTGGTCAGTGAAATGCTTTTTATCTGATTTGTTGCCTTTACTTATTTGAGCCATACTGCATTCTTGATTATTTTAACTTTAGGTATGCTATTCCTATTATATGTCACATACACATGCTATGTCAGCAACAGAAAACAAAACAAACAAGAAATAAAGAGAAGAAAAAAATGTACCCAGATCATGATGGCTGGTAGATTAGGTCTAATCCATGGATTTCTTCCTCAGTGACGTCATCAACTATTTCACTGTCTCTTAAAGGCTGCTGTCCTGTAGACTCAGCCTCATGTCTGTTAGATCCCAGGAATGAGTCTTCCTAGCCCAGTGGAATATGAAACAATATTTGGCAGCTTCTAGCACAAAATGTGTTTGGCCAAAGGCAAACTATGAAGTGAAGTTCCCAAAAAAAGAGCTGAATCTGATTGACCGACTAAAACTTCTGTTATTGTAGAGAACAGGAATGTTGGAGGTCCAAAGTCTAATGACCACAAACCAACAGATTTCTAGCTTCCATCAGCCTGAAGGCTATGTATGTTGTCAGGTAACATCTGAAACCGATAGCAGAGATGTCCTGCTTTACTTAATCTGCCTTCTCAATGTCCCCACCATTGTTTTTTTTTTAAATAAAAAGCACCCTGTTTTATGACATTCTTTGTTCTCTTACAATAAAAATCCTTGAAATTGTTATCATGTTGGAAAATGGTATTTGGGGCCATGGCACTCATATTTGGCTCCAGAATAAATGATCTCCTATTCTGTTTGAGGTGAGTACTATATTTTTGCATCAATATCAAGAATTTCATACTCTACAGGTCTGTGAAGGCTCTGTCTTCCTCCTCCATTTCTTCAATAGGGTTTCTCTATGTAGCCTATGGATTTGACTTTGAATCTGAGCTCCATTTGCCTCAACCTCCCAAGTGTGGGATTACACTGAGATTACATGCATGACTACACCAAGCTCTAAGTTTTTAAAACTTTTTCTAAAAGACTTTATGTGTACATGTGTTTTGCCTACATGTGTGTAAATGTACCACATGCATGCCTGGTATCCATAGAGGCCAGAAGAGGGAACAGGATTCCCTGGAACTAGAGTTAAGGATGAGTGTTAGCCATGTGGATGCCAGGAACCAAACCAAGTCCTTTGGAAGAGCAGTAAGTGCTCCTAGCTGCTGAGCTATCTCTCCAGATCCCCAACTAAATTAGATTTTTTTTCTAGGTATAGTGATGGGGATAGAACCTAGGACTTAAACATGGTAGGCAAGCACTCTACCACTAAGGTATATTCCCAGCCCTCAAATATTTTTTTAAAAATTGATATGTCATACCTCAAATTGCAGAGTTCTTGTTCTTGGTCCATTTTTTCATGCTCTGTTTCTGACAGCTTCTTATGTAGTCCACTAACTTTATTTTCCATTGTTTTATTTTTTTCTATAAGTACGTCACAGTGACTATTTTTAAGTTGTACTAATCTTTTATATGAATGAACTGTATCCTGGATTTTTAATAGGCTGCTAGAATCTGTATCAGAGAGAAATCAATATGGAAATAAAATATATGGACAATTTTTGTATATGAAGAACTGTGTGTGGTCACATTCACTCATTCTTATATGAACAAATATTAGAATGATTAAAGGGAAATGAGGCAGCTGGATAAGAAGAATCACTTCTATTATCCCACAGCATAACCATGCTTAGCATTAATTGAATATTTCAAAAAAAAGCTAATATAGAGAATTTTCAGTGTTCTGAAAGCAAAGAAATGGCAAACCCTTTATGTGATAGGTATATACAAACTGTGATTTGGTAATTACACATTGTGCATATGTATTGAAATGTTGTGCCTCACCACATAAATATGTTCATTTCCTGTAAGTTAACTAAAATAAAATTATATTTTACAAAGAAAAAACTATTATTTTACCAAAATATCTGACATACAGGAAAAATCTGACAAAATGTAGAAATATCTACCCACATGGACTCACACTTAAAGTACATACACATAAACACATTTAGAAAAATACAGAAATGTCAACAACACCAAAATTACAAAATTAAACATAGCCAGGACATTAAAGGCAATTTTACTTTTAATCAACAATCTGATTATAAAATTCATATGGAGGCCTGGGGATTCAGCTCAGCGCATTTGAGGATTATATGCAATGGCTTGTGTTTAATTCTCAACACTATACAAAACAAAGTAAATAGAATCAATTAAAAAAAAACCACACAAAGAAAAGCAAAGGATTTAGACTATAAAAATTATTCCCCACCCAAAAAATAAAATAGCAAGAATGAGGGATGATTTACAATATTATAAATCTATAGTAAGCAAAACAGTGTGATACTAATATAAAGAAAGCCAAATTAATTAATGAACTAAAATAGATCCTACACAATAGATCAAATACTTAAGAAAACAAGCTATTTTTGAAAAGGCACAATGAGAATACAGTGGAGAAAGGGATGACTTTTCAACATACAGATCAAGAACAACTGGATATTCACATCCACAAAATGAATTTGGATCCATATTTCATACCATATATGAAAAAGAATTAAAATGGACCACAGCTATAAGATCTAAAATTATATGATTTCTAGACAAAGATTGAGCTAGATGAGGGTTTCTTAGATATGTCACAAATCAAAATCCATAATTGGACTAAAACATAAATTGAATTTCATCAGAATTTAAAACTTCTGCTCTTCAAAAGATACTGCGAAGGCTAAGGATGTAGTTTACTGGTAGAGTGCTTGCCTAGGAAGTATGACATCCTGAATTCTCTACATACTGGAGAAAAGCATTACTGTGGAAAGAAACTCTTAAGAGAATACATAGAAAAGTCAAAAATGATGCAAAACTTCTATCAAAAAACACATCTGATAAGACTGAACTCTCTATCTAGTACATATATAAAAAAAAATATATATATATTAAAACCCTTACAAACAACCTGACTTTTTAATTGGCAAAAGATTGAGAACACGGTTTCCCAAAGATGGCATACAAATGAAAATTAGCACATGGAAAAATGTTCAACATTATTATGGATTTGTGTCATACACATTAAAACCATATGGGCATGTGCAATACCTAGTCATTATTATAGCAAATATTAAAAATGGTTCCCAGACTTGCCTTGTTGTCAGACCTGCTCAGGTTACTGAGATCCCTGTGCCCCAAGACCTGTGAGCTATCCCAGCTTGACTTATAAACAAACATGTTCGCCTAGCAACTACCCAGCCCACTCTGCTATTCCAGGACCATGAGGAATCAATCCTAGAACCTCAACTCAAAAGTTGCACCTATTCCTAGCTTAACTGAGACCATTTCTTATACCTTCCACATCAGCAAAAATTAACTCCCAAACTGAACACCAAGCACTACTCAGCAGTCTACAAGCTGAATAGTTAGGGAAACTGCAAACAAAGATACAAATAACCACTCAACAAAGACTGGATCAACTACCTATTCCAAGAAACACCACCACTAATGAGTCCAGATGCCTAGGCATCATTGATAAAACACAACATGAGTAAACTAGAAATATGTCTACTACAGAAATTTAGCACCCCCACCATAATGATGATGCCCAAGACAATGATTTCAAAATAATTGTAAATATGTTCAAGGAACTCAGAGAGGACATGAATAAAAGACTGAATGAAGATCATGGAAATACAGTTGAATGAAATAACCAAAACAAGTCAAACATGAAATTAGAATTCAATTAAGAGATAGAATCTCTGAAGAAAACACAAAAAAATAAAAATTGAAATGAAAAACTCAGGAACTCAAACAAAAAAACATAGAGGAAGGAAGAAAAAAGAAAAGGAGGAAATGGAACAGAGAATATCAGATCTTGAAGACAAGTTTAGGGAAATGGATCACTCAAAGATGTCAAATCTTTTTAAACCAACCCAGGAACAGAGTAGGCAAGACCTCTGGCACATTGTAAAAAGAACAAACCTACAAATAATAGGCATAGAAGAAGAAAAAGAAACATAGGTCAAGGCACAGAAAACATTTTAAATAAAATCATAGATGAAAATTTCCAAAAATTAGGGAAAGAAATACCTATCAAGGTTCAAGAGGCATACAGAACACTAAGTAGACAGTGCCAGAAAAGAAATTCCTCAAGTTATATAACAGTCAAATCTTTAAATGTATAGAACAAAGAAAAGATATTGAAAGCTGTGAGAGAGAAGGAATAAGTTACATATAAAGGGTGACCCATTAGAATAACAGCTGACTTTTCAATGGAGACTATGAAAGCCCGAAGGACTTGCATCAATCTCATACAAATTATCAAAGAACACAAATTTTGGTCCAGACTACTATATCTAGGAAAACTATCAGTTGTAATTGAAGGAAGAAGAAAAGCATTCCATGATAAAAACAGATTTAAGGAATTTATGCCCATGAAACCAGCTCTACAGAAAATACTTGATGGAATACTTTGGTCTGAAGAGAAGATCCAACACACTCAAGAGGATACAAGGAATAAATAAATCCAAGAACAGAACCAAAAGAGGTCTAAGAATACAGTACCACAATACCAACATAATAGGAATTAATGTTGGTTAATAATACTATTCAATATTAATGGAACCAGTAAAAAGACGCAGACTGATGGGATTAGAAAATAGTCCATCAATTTACTGCCTCTAAGAAACACACCTCACCAACAATGATGGACACCATCTTGTAAAAGGATGGAAAAAAATATTCCAAGCAAACAGAATACACAAATAGCAAACAGAATATACAAATATCAAACAAAATAGACATCAAACTTAAACTAGTAACTTCATGCTCATTAAAGGAAAAATACACTAGAAATATATTACAATCCTACACACAGGGGCACCATACACAGGGGCACCCAACTTCACAAAGGAAATTTTATTAACTCTAGAATCACACATTGACTTCAACATTTATCATAACTTCAAAACCCCACTGTTACCAATAGACAAGTCAACCAGACAAAAAATAAATACAGAAACCATGGAGTTAAATAATATCATAAATTCAATGTACTTAACAGCCATCTACTGAGCATTCCACCCAAACACCAAAGATTACAATTTTTTTCTCAGTAGCCCATGGAACTGTCTCCAAAATTGACCACATATTAGGACACAAAGCAAGACTTCACAAATTTAGGATAATTGAAAGATCATCCTGTATTCTGACCACAAAAGAATAAAGATAGATACCAGCAACAATAAAACTGGGAAAAAGTACACAAACTCATGGAATCTAAACATACATGACTGAATGAAAACTCAGTCAAGGGAGAAATCAAGAAGAAAATGTAATCAAAACACAACATATCAAAACCTATGGGAAACAATGAAGACAGCCTTAGAGGAAATTTATAGCATTAAATTACACCAGAAAATTAGAAACATCTCACATAAATAAATGAATGGTATGCCTGAAGGCCTTGGAAAACCAAGAACAAACAATAACCTAAAAACAGTAGATGGGAAGAGATACATAAAATCAATGCCAAAATTAAGTGAACTAGAAATAAGAAAACAGTATAAAGAATCAATGAAATGAAGTTGGTTCTTTGAAAAGTTTAACAAAATTGACAAACCTTTAGCCAAATTAATCAAAAGAAATAGAGAGGACCTAAATTAGCAAACTCAGATGAAAAGGGAAACATTACAACATATCCTGAGGAAACTCAGAAGACTGCAAATACATACTTTAAAAATCTATATTCCCCTAAACTAGAAAATATAAAAGAAATTAATAAATTTCTAGATCTATACAGCCTACCAAAGTTAAATCAAAATGACATAAATAATTTAAACAGACCCATAACAACCAATGAGATAGCTACAGTGATTAAAAATCTCCCAACTATGGGGCTAGACAGATGGCTTAGTGGTTAAAAACACTAACTGCTCTTGCAGAGGACCCAGGTTTGATTATCAGGACCCACATGGTGGCTAACAACCATCTGTAATTTCAGTTCCAGGGGATCCAACACTCTCTTCTCTCTTCTGTGGGCACTGCATGGCATGGGTACACTTGCATACATGCAGGCAATGCACTCATACAAATAAAATTAAAAAAAATAAATTTTTTATTGAACATATGTAATTTTGTACAATAGTCCTTAATCAAATTTAGACCCCCTCCTCCACTGATGGCCCCCTGCATCTCCCCACTTTACCTCATATATTACACCATACATGTTATTTGTACCCAGATGTCCTTCAGTGTAAATTTATCTACTGGAGTCTAGTCAGCCCATCTAGAAATTGTGTGTAAGTCATACTCTCTCTCACCCAGTAGCAATCAGTCTTCAATTGTTCTCAGTCTAGGGTCAGCCTGCCATCCATTTCTCTACTCTTCTCTGGGCCCTTGTTTAATTGAGTTGGCATGGGTCCTGTGCTAGATGCCACTACTGCCATAAATTCACATGTGCAAATTTCTGGTGGCCTGAAAGCCTCTGCTTCCCTGTGTTCATGAATCAATGCTGGCTCTTA